ATTCTTTTGATCTAACCTTTTCTCTAGTTCCTGGTCCCCTTCTATTGGCCTCAGTTGCTTTAAAGTATCTGCTTTAGTTTCTCTGCGTTGAGGGCAACAAATGCTAGCTAGTTTCTTAGGTGTCTTACCTATCCTCACCCCTCCCTTGTGTGCTCTCGCTTTTATCATGTGCTCAAGTCCAATCCCCTTGTTGTGTTTGCCCTTGATCTAATGTCCACATATGAGGGAGAACATACGATTTTTGGTCTTTTGGGCCAGGCTAATCTCACTCAGAATGATGTTCTCCAATTCCATCCATTTACCAGCGAATGATAACATTTCGTTCTTCTTCATGGCTGCATAAAATTCCATTGTGTATAGATACCACATTTTCTTAATCCATTCGTCAGTGGTGGGGCATCTTGGCTGTTTCCATAACTTGGCTATTGTGAATAGTGCCAATAAACATGGGTGTGCAGGTGCCTCTGGAGTAACCTGTGTCACAGTCTTTTGGGTATATCCCAAGAGTGGTATTGCTGGATCAAATGGTAGATCAATGTTAGCTTTTTAAGTAGCCTCCAAATTTTTTCCAGAGTGGTTGTACTAGTTACATTCCCACCAACAGTGTAAGAGGGTTCCTTTTTCCCCGCATCCTCACGCCAACACCTGTTGTTGGTGTTTGCTTATGATGGCTATTCTAACAGGGGTGAGGTGGAATCTTAGTGTGGTTTTAATTTGCATTTCCTTTATTGCTAGAGATGGTGAGCATTTTTTCATGTGTTTTTTGGCCATTTGAATTTCTTCTTTTGAGAAAGTTCTGTTTAGTTCACTTGCCCATTTCTTTATTGGTTCATTACGTTTTGGGAGAATTTAGTTTTTTAAGTTCCCTATATATTCTGGTTATCAGTCCTTTTCTGATGTGTAGCTGGCAAATATTTTCTCCCACTCTGTGGTGTTCTCTTCAGTTTAGAGACCATTTCTTTTGATGAGCAGAAGCTTTTTAGTTTTATGTAGTCCCATTTATCTATGCTATCTCTTAGTTGCTGTGCTGCTGGGGTTTCCATTGAGAAAGTTCTTACCTACCTACTAATTCCAGAGTATTTCCTACTCTTTCCTGTATCAACTTTAGAGTTTGGGTCTGATATTAAGATCCTTGATCCATTTTGAGTTAATCATTGGTATAGGGTGATATACATGGATCTAGTTTCAGTTTTTTGCAGACTGCTAACCAGTTTTCCCAGCAGTTTTTGTTGAAGAGGCTGCTTTTCTCCATCGTATATTTTTAGTGCCTTTGTCAAAGACAAGTTGGTATAGTTGTGTGGCTTCATATCTGGGTCCTCTATTCTGTTCCACTGGTCTTCGTGTCTGTTTTTGTGCCAGTACCATGCTGTTTTTATTGTTATTGCTTTGTAATATAGTTTGAAGTCAGGTATAGTGATAGCTCCAGCATTGTTCTTTTGACTGAGTATTGCCTTGGCTATTCGTGGCCTCTTGTGTTTCCATATAAATTTACAGTAGATTTTTCAATCTCTTTAATGAATGTCTTGGAATTTTGATAGGAATTGCATTAAACATGTAGATTACTCTTGGGAGTATAGACATTTTTTACTATGTTGATTCTACCAATCCATGAGCATGGGAGATCTCTCTACTTTCTGTAGTCTTCCTCAATCTCTTTCTTCAGAAAAGAGTTTTCCTTGTAGAGGTCATTCACATCCTTTGTTAGGTTTACACCTAGGTATTTGATTTTTTTGAGGCTATTGTAAATGGGATTGTTTTCATATATTCTTTCTCAGTTTGTTCATTATTAGTGTATAGAAATGCTAATGATTTTTCTATGTTGATTTTGTATCCTGCTACCTTGCTATAGCAGTTTATGGGGTCTAGAAGCTTTTGAGTAGTTTTTGAATCATTAAGGTATAGGATCATGTCATCTGCAAATAGGGATATTTTGACAGTTTCTTTACCTATTTGTATTCCTTTTATTGCCTCTTCTTGCCTAATTGCTCTGGCTCGGAATTCCAGGACTATGTTGAATAGGGGTGGGGATAGTGGACACCTGCTGTGATTTTGATGGATTTACCTTTGTATGTTATTTGTTTTTCTCTCTTACAGCCTTCAATATTCTTTCTTTAGTTTCTGTACTTGTTGTTTTAATGATGATATGCCATGGGTAGTTCTAGTTTGATCTAGTCTGTTTGGTGTTCTGGAGGCCTCTTGCATCTGTATGGGAATAGATTTCTCTAGATTTGGGATATTTTCTGTTATTGTTTTGTTGAATGTATTGTGCATTCCCTTTGCTTGCACCTCTTGTCCTTCTTCAATGCCTATGATTCTCAGGTTTGGTCTTTTGATGGAGTCGGTGAGTTCTTGCATTTTCTTTTCACAGGTCTTGAGTTGCTTAACTAATAGTTCTTCGGTTTTTCTTTTAATTACCATTTCATCTTTGAGTTCTGATATTCTGTCTTCTGTTTGTTCTATTCTGCTGGATTGGCTTTCTGTTTTGTTTTGCAATTCTGTTTTGTTCTTTTTTCTGAGGTTTTCCATATCCTGGGTCGTTTCCTCCTTAATGTTGTCTATTTTTGTCCTGAGTTCTTTATCTCTTTATTAATCGTGTTCTTTGTTCCACTTTGGTGCTTATACAGTGCTTCTATGGTTTCATTTCTTCTTGTGCTTTTTTAAATTCTCTATTTTTGTTGTCTTGGAATTTCTTGAGTGTCTCCTGTACATTTTGGTTGACCATATCCAGTATCACCCCTATAAAATTCTCACTGATTACCTGTACTATTTCTTCTTTTAGATTGTTCTTGTGACCTTCATTGGGTTCTTTGGCATAGTTTATCTTCATTTTGTTGGAGTCTGGAGCTGAGTATCTGTTTTCTTCATTTCCCTCTGGTTCCTGTACTAATTTTTTGCTGTGGGGAAACTGGTTTCCCTGTTTTTTCTGTCTTTCTGTCATTGCCTTTGGTGTTGTTATTGTCCCTGTACTGTGTGAAATTAAGTATTTTCTAGCTTGTAATAATAACAATGGTGATATTTAGAATGGAAAGGTGAGAGGAGATGGAAAGCAAAGAAGTTAAAGAAAAAGGGAAAAACAAATAAACAAGTAGAAAAAACAAGCAAACTAAAAAGTTTCAAAGATATAAACAGGGAGAGATAGTGTACTAATCAACAGTAAGCTGAACAGGCATTAGAGAGACAGAGAGAGGATTGAAAATAAAAAAAATAAAAAATAAAAAATAAATAAATGAAAATAAATAAAAACTCCAAGTTCAAATGCAGTAAATTTCAGTCTTAATAATTTTGGTGTTCGTCTCTCAGCCTCCAATCCTGGAGATGGTGTCTCAGAAGTAATTCTGTCGTTCATCAAAGTGGAAAAAAACTACGAAAACCAAATAAAACAACACAAAACAAAAAATACCCCACAAAGTGTCCCAAGTTCAAATGCAATACAGTTTCAGTAAGTTTTTCAGCATGCAGATGTAGTTCAGTTGTTGTCTCATCAAAGGTAGGGAAAAAAAAAAAGTCTGAAGACAGTTCTGTGAATGGCTAGCTGAAGCTGTGGCTCGCCTGCCCGCTGCTGTCAGCCTGCTGTTGCTGGAGGCTTTATTTATGCAGATCTCAGGAGTGAGCTTAACACTCACCTAGCCCGTCAGGTTTTGTTTACTTAGAGTTCTCCTGGGTGCGACCACCACTGCTACAAGCTTTCCCCTTTCCAAGCACACTGGGGGAGGTGACACTGCACCAGCTTTCTCAGGCTTGCGCGTTTATTTAGAGCTCACGTGGGAAGTGGGTCTTCCCCCCTCTCCTGTGGAGTTTTCCTCCCACCGTCACTTTTACAAGCTTTCCCGCTCCTGGTTGCTGGGCATGTGCTGCCTCTCCTGCCTTCTCCAGCTGGCTTGGGAGGGATTTCCCCTCCCCTCTCTTCGGCGTTCAGGGCACCCCGCACTCTTTGCTATGTGTCTTTTTTGTTGTTATTGCTTATTATTCAGTTTTTTTTTCTCCTTTTTCCCTGGGTGGGGGTCAGTCTATCCAGGGGGCTATGCTGATCTGGCCCAGGATTTTCTGTAGGAGTACTGCGTACCGCTTAGCTCACCTTGTGGTCCGCATCTTCCCAAGCCGTCTGGGCGCTGGTGTCTGGTGTTGGCGTGGGAGCCCTCCTGGTTTCTCCATTTAACGTGAAGTGGAGATGCTCTGTGCAGGCTGGAGGTGTGGAGGAGTCAAAGTTTTGCCTCTTCTCAGTGGTTTTTCCTGTAAGGTGTATCCCCAGCGTCTCTCCAAGATTTTACTTTAGGAGGCACGCTTTCTGCTTCCTCCCTCTAGCCACCATCTTGGTTATCTCCCTCATTTTGAGATTTTTAGATAGAATGATGAGTTAACCTGATCATAGCTAACTAAAATGTCTATAAATATCTTCATTAAAAATTTAAGTTTATAAGGCTGAGCATGGTGGAACACCTCTGTAATTATAGCTACTCAGGAGGCAGAGATTGGGAGAATCATGGTTCAAGGCCAGCCTGGGCAAAAAGTTATTGAAACCTCCATTTCAACTAATAGGCTGGATTTGGTGTTGTGTGCCTGTTTTCCCAGCTCTACAGGAGGCATAGGCAGGAGGATCACCATCCAAGTCTGGCCCTGGGGCAAAAATACAAGACTCTATGTAAAAAAAATTATCTTAAAAGTGCCAGGGTGTGTGGGGCTCAAGTGGTAGCATGCCTGTCTAGCAAGTTTGAGGCCCCAAGTTCAAACTCCAGTATTGCCAATATATATGTATACACACACACATGTGTGTGTGAGCCTATATATATATAAGCTTATAGAGGCTGGCTTTGATAAGTCATATTAAGATGAAAACATTGGCCTACGATTTTTGGGGCACTATGACAGTTGTACTGATTACTAATGAATTTGTGGTAAAAATAATTGTATTGCCCTGTAAATAGAATCTGTTGACACTGAGGAGTTAGTCTTTGTTCTTTTGTTATATATTCATTTATGTTTTTTATGTTTTTTTTCCCCAGGAATGGAAAGAACGTTATGGACACAATAGAGATGATTCCACTAGGAACAGAAATGTTCATCCTGATCCCAAAGAGTCAAATTTCTCGGATGTTAATACCAATTGGTGTAAGTAATTTATTTTCTAGCTTGCTTAGAATTTGTTTTCTTGGGGCTGGAGGAGTGGCTCAAGGGTAGAGAGCTTGCCTGGCAAGTGTGAGGCCCAGTATCACCAAAAAAAAAGAATTTGTTTTCTTATATTTTCCTGCACAGAGATGGAAAAGATATCCATCCAGAAATGCCTCATAGTATTGCAAATTTATATCTATATTGACTTTCCTTTCTCACATTACATAGTATATAAAAGGAATGGGAAATGAAATATGTATTCTGGTAGGACAAGGAAAAAGTGGGACACCTAATGTACAAATACTACCTTAAATAATAAAAGCACTTATTCCAGTCATGGCCTAAGCAGGTGCCTGTTTCTATTATTTGCCTTCCTATTAGTAAATGTAGTTTATCAGTCATTTTTATAATTTTTATAATTATTTATTGACTGACATGTATTCAGATACTTTCCCATGTATGCAGTTATACTAAGAAGATAAATTTCTTGTCTGCAGGATGTTCATAATTTAATAAGGGACTAACACCAGGCAGAAGCCATCCGCTCTTGGTGTAGGTCAGGAAACCTTCCCATAGCATGGACTCTGCACTAACATGAGGCAGAAACCATTTATCCCTGGAAAGTTTCCAGGAAAACTGGCTTTGACTGCATGGAAGGCAGTTTGTCTTTGGGAAAGATGTGATTTTGCCAGGGTAGCACCACCACTGAGGTTTCCTTGCACAGGCCTGCCAAAGATGGGATGAAGCAGGAAAAATGAGTATTCTTTCCCACCAAGCAGCAAGTTTTGCACAACAGTAATCTACTGTTAGAGGAGGAGCAGAAACATGGGGACACTTTCTGTGGCATAAGCATGAAACCTGCAGGTACAAAAAGAATACTGAGAGGAACATCTGACACTTAGACCCTATTAAGCCTGAGCTTAGGGAAGGCCATTGCTGGAGAAATGTGTACTCTATGGGGACTTAAGGGAACTAAAGCAACAACAAAGTCCAGACCCAAGTTAAGTACAGATTAGAGTGATTTAGTCCTTCAATACTAATGACTTAATAGAAGATGCATACTCATTCTGGGCATAATTATTATTTGTCTTATTTTCTACTTGTTAAAATATAAAATGTCTGGTTTAACCAAAAATTATGAGGTAAACATGAAAGAAAATATGAGCCAGCCTCAAAACATAAAATAATATTACTGATCCTAAAAGCAGATCAAACATTGGAATTATCAGATAGTACAGTGACTAAAATAATGAATTTTAGTATGTTAAATAATGTAATGGAAAGTTTAGACAATGTGCATAAACAGAAGGAGGGAATTTCACCAGAGAGATGGAAAATATACAAAAGAGTTACATGAAAGTGTTAGAAATATCTTAATGACAGGAGATGTGGTGCAAATGGTAGAGTGCCACCTTTGTGAGCATAAAGCCCTGAGTTCAAACTCCAGTCTGCCCCCCTACACACAAAAGAAATATTACTGAAGGGCACACACCAAAGAACCATCATGGAAATGGAAAAAGAATTTTCTGCAAGTATTTCTGTCATAAAGAAACTCATTCATTTCGAATGAGCAGTACTTAGTCACAAGAAAAGGGTTTTAATCATAAGGAAAGGTGAATGCAAGACAGTGACATGACAACCTTTATATAAATACACATTTTTCTTTGTGACTATAGCAGATAAGTGAGATAAGAGAGGCAGCCACAAAGATAGTTGGGGGACAGATATCATCATGCTCAAAAGTTTGGCTTTTATACTACAGGTAAGATTTAATCTGGAAAGTAGCATAAAATTTTTGGTTTCAAAAGATGGCTCTTGATGTCCTGGATCAAGTGCATTGATCCAGGAGATGAAAAGCATTTATTTGATATTTACGGTAGAATAAGTAAGAGAGGGCTAAAGTGTTGTTAGAACTAGGAAACAGAGGAATCTGTAAAGAGATTTGGATGTTTACCACAGAGCAGAAGTTTAAAGAAGGGAAAGATCTGGGAGTATGAAGAATGATAAAGAGAAAGGAGACACAAAATTCATTGGATGATGAGTTTGAGATAACCTGGAATGTGGGCATCAACCATTATTTGCTGAATAAAAGGATGAAAGAAATGCTGAAGGGGCTCACATTTAAGGCAGAGTCCAAGATGACAAAATACAGGATCTGGATAGCTTGCCTTGCCTTGTTTTCAAAAAGAACTATATTATAAAGTTGTTTTGAGGCTACTTAGACTGCTTAAAACTAATTGTGAGAGTTTAAGTCATTACAAAGAAACCCCTATCCACATAGAAAAGGAAGAATTACTTGTCTAGATCTATACTGAACAGTATTGTAGTTGTTAACCACATGTGACCATCGAGAACTTGCAATTCAGCTGGTGTTTCATGTTGACAACATTTTGGATATATTGGGTTAAATTAAATGCATTAAAGTTAATTTCACCTCTGTCTTTTACTTTTTAATGTAGCTACTAGAAAGTTTCAAAGTAAATATGGGACTTGCATTTTATCTTTGTGTCCAGTGTTGCCCATACTCCTGCCTCATTGATGAGAAAAGACTGAAGTCTTTATTCAAGAGCTGAGTTTATTACACCTTAAAGTTCTAGCTGAAAATGAGATTTACTATGAAGTCAGCTGAAATTTAATTTGATAATGAACAACTTCATTATATTGATATCATAAATGTTAGTTTTGATTCATATTATTTATTTGTTTTTGTACCATATCTGCTTCTGAACTTAGACTAGCCACAATAATAGAAAAATTTCCTCATTATTTTCTGTTATACTTTTTCCAGTATTGGATCTTGGACTCACGCCCTTGTGCTTGCTAGGAGGCATTCTACCACTTGAGCCACTCCACCAGCCCTGTATTGTGTTGGGTATTTTCCAGATAAGAGTCTCACTAACTGCTCACCCAGGGCTGGCTTCAAACTGTGATTTTCCTGATCTGTGCCTCCTGAGTAGCTAGGATTATAGACATGAGCCATCAGCACCCAGAATAATTTTCATCTAATTTTTAAAGAACCATGTAGTTATTTCTTATGTTGTCATTACAATTAAAATTGAGATCCTTTATAATTAATCTTGAGCTTTCTTTCTTTGATTCTATAGTCTGTAATCCATAAATTAAAAGACAATAGTAGACATTTTATTTTCTCCTTTTGAGCAGCATCCAAATATACCAGGGCTAATAATAGGACTGAAAGGGACCGAATAGAACTTCTCCAAGATGCAGAACCTTTGGATTTTAATGCAGAAACATTCACTGATGATCCTCTTGAATCTGAATCAGGAAGGTAAGTTCTGGCTGGGCCATTTTGATTCTATTATTTCTCTAAAATTTTAGTGACATAGTGACTTGTCAAGGTTGAAAACAAGTGATAATTAAACATAAGATACATGTTGATGAGGATGTTGCTTAGTGGTAGAGTACTTGCCTAGCATGTGTGAAGCTCTGGATTAGGTCCTTAGCACCAAAAAAAGTTCATTTTTACTACAAATAAAAAACATATTAAGTAACTATACCCTCATATTCTTTTGTATTTGAAAAATTACAGCATTCAGTAGTGGTAATTGGAATAGGTATCTTCATACAACACTAATGGTATTACAAATAATAAAAGATTGAAATAAACAGCAAAGAATCATAAAAATGTTTCTGTATCTATGACAACCCACTTATGAAATTTATTATGTTTAGCAAGAGTTGTATAACTATTGTCTTGATGTCAAACACAGTTCCAAGCACTGTAATAATGATTTATAGTTGAAAATCCAACTGGATTTAAATCCAGAGAGACTTGGTAACTTACTTAGAGTCACACAGCTTGTAAATAGCAAGTTAGGCAAACTCCAGTAATTTGATAGCAGAGTTTGTGCCTTTAGCAACTATGCCATGAGAAAATAAGAAAACAAAAGCAAAATATCACATTCATAAAGACATTTGCTATATTATTGCGTAGAAATAGCAAAAACCTAGAATATTGATTTATACTCAACAATTTATCATTGGTTATTAAACTGATTAATCTCCTGGATGTAGTTTACACCCTCCCACTTTTTTTTATCCCTCACTCTGCCATACATGTATTCTAGGCTCTAACAGTTACTGGCTGATTTATAATTAAGTCCTTTTGGATAATATCCTTAGAAGGTAAGGTTCTGTTGTCAGCTGCTGAATACATTTCATACTCCTTACAGATGTAATAACTTCCTTTTAATATGTTCATATTTTTCTTTCCTCTTTTATTATTTTTGATGACTCAGATCATTTCTTTATGTTTACCTTTAAGGTATCAGCCTGGTGGACGATATCTCTCAATGTCTTCCAGCGTAATATTTGAAGATATCTAAAGTCAGAAAAATTTGTGGAGCAACTAACCAAGTCAACACCTCAGTTCAGCTTTTATGAACACGTGTGTCCCCAAATTTCCTCAGTACTCTCAATGAAAAGTGTCAGGATAACAAAAAAGTGACTGAGAATTAATTACAACTCAGTAAAAATAGGTTATTGTTCACTGAATAGAGCAGCATCTTTTCTAATAGGACTTCTTACATACTAGTCCCTTAATGTCTGCCTTAGAAGTATAGTTAGAAGAGAAAGATTCAATTCATGATGAAAATCAGTAGATGTTGAGAACACGTAATTCAGATTGTTTCAGATTAATTTTTTTCAGGAGAGTTATTTTAAAGGTCCTAGGAAACCATAAGTCAACTAAATATATGTAGTTTCATTAGTGTGATTTACATTTTGGCTGTTCCTAAGAGATATCTTTAACTGTATTTCCCAAAAGAAACATAAGTGAATAGAGATCTCAGATAACAACCTATATTCACAAAACCTATGTCTTAAAACAAGACTGACTTATCAGACATAACTGAATGTAAAAAGCTCTTTTATAAATCTTTATGCCAATTAGTGGGATTTTTGCATGCATAATTAACTGATAGTGTTGGTGTTTTGGGCATGTATACTGTAATCAGGAGATATATTATTCTTTCAGTCCTTGTAGTAACTGTATTTTTTTATGGCATTGGTATTTTTATTAATGCTTTGTAAAAGATTCTCATTTCAGAAAAAAATACTCCCCTTTAGCATTTAGCATATTGATTTAAGTGTTGATCATACCATTCAAGAAGAAATCCTAAGTATTAATGGCAATAGATTTTTTTCAACAGCCAAAGAGTTTCACAAAATTCTCTTAATTTCAAGGTACCTGTTTACACTTTTTGAAAAGAAAATAGCTGGTTATTTAAAGGTAAAAAATGAATGCATTTACTGGTATTATTAGTTCTTAAATTTGGGCTTATAGAAAACAGAAAATTAGACTGGAAAAATAGACAAGTTAATAATAACTTGTTTGTTAAATGTGCTTATAATCATAAATTGATTGTTAAAACCTTTGTGTTTAAGCCAAAGTTAGGTATTATGTTTTTAAAGCACCAGTGTTTTATTGCACAGTGAATATGGTTGAGTACAACATGCTTGCATGGTGTTTTCTTATGGCTCTGAAATATTTGTAACTCTTGTAAAATCCATGCTACATTGGGTGACCATACTTGAATTTGCCCAGGACAGTCTCATAATAGTACCTATTACCCGTGTAATTATTACTAGAGCTCATTTTCACTTTCAGGTGTCTCCATTTAAATAATTATATGTTCAACCTAATTGTGTTTCTTGAAAGTAATCTTTTCCTGAGTTATAATTTTAAAATTTCTAGTTTGCCTTTTAATGAGTATTAGCATGTAAAAATTTGAAGGCATAGTTCTATGCAGGTACTGAAAGGAATCGTGTATTATCCTTTTATCTGATTTTTTGATCTTTGAGTTTTTATGAACTTTGAAATTAGATCCTCTTTAAAATAATTATCGATGAATATATTTATTCTGAACTGAAGGTCACATACCTGCTCATTTGAGTATATATACACACACATAGCCTTTTATTGTAAAGTAATGATCAGAGACCCAAAGGTCAGGAATACCATTAATTTAATACTGTTTGTAGTTTCGTGATTGACTCCTTGAATACCTTGGGCAGATCATGTAACCTTTTAGTGCCTCAATTTCTTCATTTGCAGAATGAAGATAATATTTGCTATTTACCTACTGATCTACCTCACAAAACTATTGTGAGGGAGTTGAGTTAATGTTTATGTACTGAAGTTTAGAAAGACAAAACAGTCAGCTGTGCTGGTTTTCCTAGTAGCACTTGAAGGTGATGGATGGTGGAAATGATCATTCCAGAAAAAGGGGTCTGGTTTCTATTTATTATAGAGAAGCTTACAAGTCTCTGAGCAAAAACTTTGAACTAATTTATATGAAGTTCTGTGAAAATAGTGTTTTATTTTTAGCATTTGGGTTTACTTTGGCATCTCCCTCCTTCTTTCTCTCTCCCTTCCTTCCTTCTTTCTCTCTCTCTCTGTCTTTTTTTTTTTTTTTATTGACAGTAGTGTGGTTTGAACTTAGGGCCTTGAACTTGCTAAGCACCCCCAGCCCTCAGAATATTTTTCTTAAGTATAATGTTGCTTGTCATCAGTTTTTGTCATGATACTCAGATGCCATTGTAGAAGTAGAAGAAAAAAGAGAGTAGAAATTACCTAATTACTTTTATAAATAACTTTTATAACACTCTATGGTAAATTGGTAGAAATGCATAAAGGAGTCTTATTACTTTCCTTTATTACTAAATTTTTATGGTTATAATAATTGGAGTATGTATATGTATATACATAAACTTCACAAATAGTATAGATCCCTTTATGACTTTTGAGTTATTTCCAAAATAATTTTTGGTTGTGTCAATGATCCAGAGTATTCAAATTTTAAGTTTGTCTTACGAGATTTTATATGTAATCATATTGAAAGGTTACTTTACTGGGTAAATTTGAGCCTAGAAAACAATTGTTTCTAACCCCTGAAGACCAAGAGTTTATTTCTGGGGAACAAAGGCACCTTGTGTAAAAAACTATAATATGTTCTGTTTTGAGAAGCTTATTAACATGTAATGATTCTGTTGCAAAATATTACTACTAAATTCACATACTTTACATGCAAAGTGCATTCCTTGAATTATTTTGAGCAATTACTTTTTGATGTCTTTCTTACATAATAGGTATCTGCTTAGAATTTTCCAAATTATTTTTCTAAATAGTTATTAGGTAAGGCTATTCAGTAAGCCAGTAAGTAATTCAAAATAATAGTTGCAGAAAGTAATAATAACCTAATAACGTGTTAACAATAGAGCATTTTTTAGGAAAAATTCTTAAAATAAGAAGTGGAGTATAAATCTAATTTTTAAAAATTTGCTCTCCTACCAAATAAATTACAAGGGCTTTAGAATAATGTCAGCATACAAGAAACACTTATTTCACAAAAGAGGTAAAAGTAAATCAGAGCAAAAAGATTTTCTCTTTATAAAGAATAGATTAAGCCGGGTGCTGGTGGCTCACGCCTGTAATCCTAGCTACTTGGGAGTCTGAGATCCAAAGGATTGCAGTTTTAGGCCTGGGCAAATAGTTCACGAGACCCTATCTCCAAAATAACCAGAGCAAAGTTGAGTATAACTCAAGCAGTACAGCGGTAGAGTGCCTGCTTTGCAAGTGTGAGACCCTGAGTTCAAACCTCAGTCCCAACAAAAAAAAAGAAAAAGGATTCAACAACACAAACATTTAAAAAGAAATCCTGCCAGTTGGTTAATTTTTGGCCTCTACTATTTGCCTAAATTTTTAGTTCTAAAATTTAAGCTGAATATATACCCAAATTAAATATGAATAGGAACATCAACATGTGTGTGTTTTTTAAAGTATATTTTAGCATGTTGAATGAATTTCATTTACATTCACTTAGACTAGCAAATCTCATTTTTTTGTACCTTTAATAGATTTAGGGAATGATCTTGATGATGTATTGACCATATTAAAGAAAAAGTAAGCTCTATGTATTACAATTCACACTGTTCAGTTAGGTTAAGTTTTATACTTGTGATTTTAGTGGGCCTTGCCTAAAAATTACAAGGATAAAGATAACATTTGTACTAAGGCACAAAATATGTCCCAGAGAAATTTTAGCATACTTGAATATCCAAGGTGAAGTGGGTCATATTAAATTATAAATGTTAAAGAGTAAGTGGATTTAGAGTTTTGTCTTTTTTCCTCCCTTTCTCACTTCTTTTGTACCTGCCTTTGTTTCTGAGACCTCTTGTTATAGTATGACTTCTAGTGTGCTGACAGATTTTTCTTTTGTTTTTGTGTACACAGTTGTTTTGATGAGCTGTACATTTAAAAGGAACTAGTTATGACCACAAATCCTACTACTTGAAATAGCAGTATTGTATCTAAAGTAGTGAAACAGGTTTTGCTAGACAATTAAGCAACATCTGAAAGTAAATGCTGGCTCAGTGTGTTGCCTTTTAGGTCACTGAGGAGGGCACTTCATTTAATAAAACAATTTTTCCATAAAATTGTAAAAAAAAATCCCAAAACATTAAGAACTTCAAGACCTTTTACTATGAAAAGTAATTCGTACATAATATACATCATTCATATTTTCTTAGGAAAGATAGAACAGTATAAGAGGGTTACAGGAGACTTTCTAATCAGTGACTCTTTCCTGCCCAGAGAGTTGGAAGACCAGGTGGTGTTACTACCTTTTCCAACTCCTGGAGACTAAGCCCTATGCACCTTCTCCCCAGCCAGGTAGGCACTAGTCTGTCCTTTTTCCCATTGCAGAGGGAGCATGTTCTCTCACCTCTAGTTTTTATTGTGCTTATTCTAATTTAACTAAAAATTTGTTTCCATTTTCAAAAGATTTGTCCATTGAGATCAGCTGAGGCCTTGCTATAATTTTTAATATCTTAATAAAGCAAGATTATTCACATAGTTCTCTACTTATCAGTATTTTAAAAGATACTTGTTTTAAATACACTCCTTGGGAAAATTAACTGTTTTTTTCCAGAAAACCTTTTGTGGTTACTTGTTCTCAAGTTACTTTGTAAAAGGAGAATTTTACTGTACTTGGTGCAAAAGAGTACAAAGAATGACTTACTATGGCAGACATACGTAGGGTAAAGTCATAACTTATTAAACTGCATAGTGCCATTTAGAGTGTGTTTGCTGATATAATTCTCATCAACCTACCCATATAGAGCTGTATTTATCAAAAGAATGCTGTCTAGAATCTTCCCTACTTAGTATACCACATTGTAGGGAAGCATTGTGTTATTTATTTTTTTAAGAGCAGTCCAATGGATTTGTTTTTGTCCATATTTTGAAACCAATGTGAAGGAACTTTCTCATTTTAGAAGGTAGGAGATATGTAGACCTATCTTTTAAATTACTCTAACCTAATATATATTTATAAATTATAGCATTGAAAAATACAAAAGAGCTCTATTATTGATGTTATTACTTATTTAATTTTTATAAATGTTTTTGTAAGCAACTAATTGTAGTTCTGACCTGTTTCCTTAGGACAATATTCTGAAGTTCAGTAGTCTAGTATGAATTTGAAATATACCTACATCACTTCGGTATATTTTTTTATATACCAGTACCCAAACAAAGTATACCAAAAGCCTAATTTCTGTATTACATTAATAAAGTGCTTATTATTTTGCCTTCATCTAATTCAGTTGATTAGATGAAATAGAAGATAAATCTCTTCAAATGTGCATCTGATCATAATTTTTCAAAAGCTAACTAGGCTCATTTTTGGTGCATGATGCCAAATTTAATCAGCCTTTACTAACCTGATGTGTAATAACAAATGTTTTCCTATTTGACCAGTGGGTTGTAGTTTAAATTATTTTTCTGTGCAGATTCTCACTACATTTTCAAATATGTATTTGGAAAAAAGCTACAAAGTGCTACTTATAAGTGAGTTAGCATCTTTGGCTTTATCTATGCATAATGTCCTCTCAGTTTGATTTTGAAAAACTCATTGACTTGCAATTCCTTTGTAGTATTGTAACTTATTGTGATGTAATGAATTTTTTGAAATGTTTATATGATTAGTTGTTTGTTAAAATATGGGAAATGATGTAGATTTGCATGAAATAAACTACATTTCTATAACTTCGGATTACTTGTGTATTTTACTTTGAGATTAAGCTTTTAAAAATGGATTTAGACATTCTGTGGTTGCTTACAAATTTATTAGCGAATCTTACAAAAGAAATGTTTTAAGATAAATAATTGAATATGGGTACTTTAGGTTCCACATTACTTCATCTTTTGTTTATAAGTAAAACAAAGGTAATTATAAAATTATAGTAAAAAGCAATGAAATTGAAAATGGGAAAATGGTAGGAATATTAGCAAAACCAAAAGCTGGCTCTTTGAAAAGATCAGCAAATGTTATAAAACTCTAGTCAACCTAACCAAGCAAGTAGGGCAAGTTGCTTTCCTATATACCAAAAATGAACAATTGGAATTTGAAATTAAAACACAATGACATTTATATTAGTACCACAAAAATGAAATACTTAGTATAAATCTAACAAAATCTGTACCAGAGATACAGGAGGAAAACTGTAAAGCTCTGATGAAAGAAATCAAAGAACTGATTCCTATCCATGTTCATGGATAGGAATACTCAATATTTTCAAGATGTGAGTTCTTCCTAACTTGGTTTATAGAGTCAATGTACTATAGCTCAAAATTCTAGTAAGTTATTTTGTGAATATTGACAAACTGATTATAAACTTTATGTGAAGAGGCAAAAAACCCAGAAGGGCCAACTCAATATTGAAAAAGAATAAACTCAGAGAAAAAAACATTACCTAATTTCAAGCCTCACTGAAAAAACTATAGAAAGACATTGTTGGGAAAATAAACAGTTCAGCTGAATGGAAGAAAGAGCTTAAAAATGAACCTACATAAATCTTTTTGGTTTCTGACAGACCGATTTTTTTCAACTGATCTTTTACAAAGGAACAAAAACAGTTCAATGGAGAAAAATTGTTTTCTTTTTCTGGTGCTGAAACAACTGAACATCCATGTGCAACAATATGAGTCTATTTACTGATCTTACGCTTTTCACAAAAATTAATTCAAAATGGATCACAGGCCTAAATGTAAAACACAAAACTAAGAAAGTTTTAGAAGATAATGTATAAGAGACTATAAGTGAAATGAATGTTTGGATATACCAAAACCAATCCACAGGAGAAAATTGTGAATGTTGGACTTAATTAAAATTAGAATTTCTGTTCTGCAAAAGACAGTGTTAAGATAAGGAAGAGATAAGCCACAGACTGTGAGAAAAATATTTGCCAAAGATATATCTGTTCCAGAACTTACAATCAAAATATATAAAGTACACTTAATGCTCAAAAATAAGAAAGCAAGCAACCCAATTTAAAAAAAAAGCATGCAAAGGAGTTTAACAATACTTCACGTAGAAGATACACAGATGGGAAAT